CTCCCTTATTCGGCATATTAGTCGAATATCTTTATTTATTGACTTCGTAAATGTACAAAATTCCATATTGTTTTAATCATGTTTCATTCCAATAATGTAGGTTTAAAAATAAAAATTGACAATAATAAAAGAATAATAGAAGAGCTACAAGTCAATTTTGTTAAAACGTTTAATATTTAAAATAAATGAAAATAATCATTATGAAAACATAAAATTATAAATAAAACACGTTTCGACACCAATCAGGTCGTTATCAATGTTCGCGAATGTAGATGTTATATAAATGATAGATGTTATATAAATGAATAATAAAACACAAAATAAAATATAAAATCATAAAATTATATATAATTCAATAAATTAACTGACTTAAAATTAACAGTGTAAAGATTATTTACTGTCTTCTATCCATGAGTTTGTTCCGTACAGTCAATATGGTACATCCATGATGTGTAGTAGTATTAGTATTAATTACTGAGTAAAAATATTTTGAGTCTTGATATTTGTTATTGTGAAATGATATTTCATAAATCATCGTGTAGCCGATATTCGTGATATGTGAATTGACAATCAAGATTGAAAAGAAAGAAAAATTGAAAAGAAGAAAAATTGATCAAATGTGAGCAAACGATGAAACGCAGTAAAATTCACGATGGATGAAAAGTAAGCAGTATTGCGATAGAAGTTAGAGTATGGATCTTTCCTAATCTGTATCCAGAGACGTTGTATGATAATAAAATATGATATAAAAAATAAAAATAAATTAATAATATTTTCAACATTATTATATTTATAAACATTAATGCAATTTTATCTAAGAAATTGTAGAGTGCCAAACTTTTGAATGATAGTGTATATCATATTTTTATTATAAAAACTCAAACGTTTGTTATTAATCTAATACTATAAATTAAACCAAAAATTAATCATTTTTCATTGTTCTTTTTAATACAAAAATTATCTAGCCCGGCTTTAATAAAAAGCCAGCTAAAATATGATGAATGTATCGGAAGGAAAAACTGTAGAGTTCATTAAATATCTGCTTATCATAATCTGATTTAAAATATTACATGGCTGCTCTTGTTTCTTTTTCCAGAACGTATAAAGTATAGCCAAGTGTTGGAGGAGTGGACCCCAGTGCGTTAATTATTGTGAAAACTGTTAGAGGTTGATTGTCTTGATTGCGTTTCTTACAATGCAGACAGACAATGCAGTTCAATGCAATGAATGTAGACATATTGTATATATATTTTAAAATATATATCTATATATATAATACATAGTGTTTCGACTAATGAAAAACAACATACTGTTTTTATGTATAATAAATAAGGAACGTTGTATATAAGAAAATAAAGGAAATAGAAGGGCTCGAAAGAATAGGCACTGGTACAAGTGCGCTAATTATTCAAAAACATCAATATTTAATTAAGTTAATAGAAAATTTATTAAGAGCCGGAAGAACAACGATTATATATAATTCGTAACTCGATTAGTCTTCTAATCTTTTTCAGCGATAATAATATAGACGCAACTTATTTTTTCAACAATGGCTAAAAGATAAAATTTTTTAATAAAAAAATATCCTTATATGAAGACAATAATCATAATATGATGACAATAATAATGATCAATTCAAAATACAGTTTACAATTTCTATATGTAAGTCCATTGTTTGAAAAATTTAGAAACGTCAAAGACACGTTCTATCGTTGCCTATCCTTTTACAGCATGAATAAATTGGGTAATATTATCAGAGCACAAAAAGATCCATTACCTGCGACACCGTCGAAATACTATTAAAAACCGTCAATCCTAGGCAAATTTTCGGCGGTATAAAAAGGACCTGGAGATAATTGAAGAGCGCTGACATTATCGACAATTAATATAAATTTGCTATTAACATAAATATTTGGCTGTAATACATTATAAATTCATAATTTTTATTACGTAAATACTTCATAAATAAATATGCATACTTGTAAAGCTATAATATCCTATATATTGCCGAAAAATTACAATTTTTTCTCTGTTATCATTTCTATTGATAATTAAACTTGATAACATCGAAATCATAATTTTAAAGAAAAATCGAATATTATTGCGAGCTTTAAATACATGTACACCGATAAACACATCTACAGGACTAATAAATTAGTACAATATTATCAGTTTTTTACTCTATGCTTAGTGCAGATTGAACGCAGCAAGCGTCAAGCAGCAGAACAGCAACCAACCAATAAGGTGATATTTTTTACGTCACTGTAAATATCGCCTCACTGATTGGTTGCTGCTCCGCTTGCGTCCAGTCTGAATTAGACATTAATCACTTTAATAGTTTCGTCGGTGCCTGCGACTTGTAAAAAGAACATTGTCTATAAAATCTCTTGTAAGGATTGTGATGCGACTTATGTTGGACAAACGGAGAGATAAAAGAAACGAGACAATCTCAGAACACAGGTATCTCATATTAAATATATATAAATATATATAAATAGAAATACAACAATACATTCTGTAATTACAGATCATAGATTGCATTATAGTCAGATTTCAGTTGAGAAGACGTCAAAATTTTGGATATTAGAGCGAAATTATAATAAGAGATATTAAAGATAGTTGATATAAAATAACAAAATAATATCTAGCATTAATTTGAAAACAAGCATAGAACTGCTAAACCAAATATATTATAGTTATTTTAACTACTCTTAGTTTGTTCTTATTACAAACTTGATTTTTAAATGATCGGCGAGTCTTTATTAATTTTCACTATTTGACGATGTATGGTCAACATTATTCCGTACTGTACATATTATATTTATTATTTTATAATTTGCAGGCTCGGTCTTATTTCAAATAAATTTATTTAAAATGTACATTTTAAATAAAAAAAATTAAATAGTATTATTTAAAATAACGTCTTTTGATCTATTTCTTTAATATTTTAAATAAGTTTTTGGAATTTATTTTATATTTTTTATTTTAAATAAGTATCAGTTTTTTATCGATTATGAATTTTAAACAATTTTCTGAAACCTAATTTTATATTTTTTATTTTAAATAAATTATATCAGTTATGTTACCAATCCGATAAAAGTGATAGTGAATAATTAAATTATAGTATATTTATGATGAAGTATTGCACGTGTGGAGTATGAGATATACCCACATATGATCCATTTTTCACCTGGTTCGCAAAGAGTTAATATTAAGTATCAATTATAGGCTGTAAGCTAAAAAAAACTTGAAACGTTATATTTAGAAATGTATTCATATATTATATAAATAAACAAAATCATTAAAATATTTTTTATTTAAATACTATTTGAAACGTTTATTTAAAATACATATTTGTTACTTTATATTTTAAGTAAGTTTTCCGAAATCTATTTTTTATTTAAAACAAGAAATAGCCTTCGAAAACTTATTTAAAATAAAAGACAAGTTATTTTTATATTTTAAATAAAAGTTATTCTATATTTTAAATAAGTGTATTTTCGGGCCCTGTTTCTTATTTTATATTTTAAATAATTTTTTGTGATTTATTCCTTATTTAATATTTTAAAAATATAAGTTTTTTGGAATCTATTTTACGTTTTTTATTTCAAATAAGTTGTATCAGTGATTTTATTGATTCCTACGATTTTATATTTTAAATAAGTTTCTGGAACTTATTTTATATTTTTTTATTTTAAGTAAGTCGCATCAGAGTTATTTTACCGAGCCCTGATAATTTGATAAAAAAATCTTTAATCGTTGACTTCCCATCAAGACATTTGATACCATGTGTTTGAAGTTTCACACTATGTGTTCGAAATTTCCATCGCGGATGAATTCTTTGTACATCTATATAAAAATACTTATATTCAATTTCGTAATTAAAGGCACCGACATCGTGAATTCCATCCAGTTTTGTAACTGGCATGGAAAAATGTATTCTCGACAGAGAAAGAATTTAATTGGCTTCTCTGGAGGTTGCAACAAATAATTTCACATTCTCCCTGATGGAAAAATTTCGTTAAAATTCACGTTTTAGAACTTCGGAAAAATTTTAGTTTAATTTCAGCGATTTTTAGTTGAAAAATTCATTTTTATCAATATTTCAGAAAAATTTCAGCAAAAATTTCAACAAAATTTCAGTTCAGTAATTTCAGTTCAGTTCCAACGATTTTTCAGTATGTTAACTGAAAAATTCACTTTCATTAAAAGTTCAGCAATTTTGCCGAAATGTTCTAAAATGTGAAATAATTTCAGCGAAATTTTTTCATTAAGATTCCGATCATTTTACACTAGGTAACTTTTGCATCTATTATTATCGCTAAAGAAGATTAGAAGATTAATCAAAACATACGATATTATATTATTTAATGATTATCGTCGTTCTTTCGTCGTTCTCTTAATAAATTTCTATTATCGTGTAAATATATTGAGAGATATTTTTGTACAATTAGCGCACTTGTACTTAGCGTCTATTCTCTTGAGCTCTTCTATTTCCTTTATTGTATTTTTAAATTAGGGAATCATGATATTCAAATTTTTGTATATAAGAAAAATTATTATAAAATTGTTGCTATGCTTTATAAATAAAAGACAAATTTTTTTTTTAGATTGTATGTAGCATCACGAAACATTTTATTTTCTTTTTCAGATTGAGTAGTACACACTTACTTAACCTCAATAGATGCGAATTTTGTCGAATAAGTACACTGAAACCTCATAATAGCATGCAGAGATCTGAACATTATAACGAGATTATCTCTATTTCACCTCAAAATTATGAAAAATTTATTTCAAAATTTTAGTGGCTATTGTATTATACTTCCCATTCGTATTACTCATAGCGCGGAAAAGATTTTTCACACTATTTCGAGGTTCACTATTACGAGGTTTCACTGAATATGTCGTGTACGAAGATAAAAGTATAAATTTACGTACATATTCGTATGTATATTTGAAATACAAATTAAAATTTGAGATTTCTCTGATATTAAACAATAAGATGTTAACACGTGTGTGTGTGTGTGTGTGTGTGTGTGTGTGTGTGTGTGTGTTGTGTGTGATCGATAATAAGTCTATATCGTACACACATACAAGACATTTACTTTGATAACAATAAAATCGTTTGCACTAAATTAAATCTAACTCAAGTGACACTCCTATTTTTTTTCAGGATTGTAATTATCACTGTATAGCCCTGTACCCTTCGAGTCTCCCAACCAGGGATACTTGTTTGGACACTCTCTACACGTTTCCATATACCTATTACAATTGATAAAATATAGTTACAATTTTTAAAATATTTAATTACTATTTCGTAATTTTATGTGTCGACAGTTGAATAAATTTCTACCTAGTTGTTGTGAAATTTGATTCGGGAGGCTTGAAGTCTAAAGCACATTTGTGTGGATTGTTACACGGTGGTTCAGGCAAAATCTCTTTTTTCTTACATGACCATCCTTCGAAGTTATGCAGAGCTTTAATTGGTTTTGGATCGGTCATCCATGTTAACGCTTGCGTGGCGGTTACAAAGTAAACGTCAGGTCTGTAAAAATGTAATGTTTATTTTCAAATATTGAGATTTTTTTATAAATATATATTTTATAAATATGTATTTTGACTCACAGTGTTACCACCCAATCGAGAAATTTTGACAGACCGCGTTCCAATTCCTTGATTTGGAACCAATTAGTATGGAAAGGCATCATGTATGGCGCTCTGTTTTGTTCGTAATATCTGTTAAAATCTTCCTGTAACCAGTCAAACACCTCTTCGGGATCGTGATTGTGAAGAACACATTGATCTAAATAAGGACAATGTCCACCTTCATAACTCTCCACATAATGCGCATTCAACGGTAATTCCCAAATACCTATAATAACATATACAATTTCTTTAGAAATTACAATATCAAATATGTTATTGTGTATTAATTGTATTAAATTATTAATAATTTTTTATACTCCTGTATTACTACTCCAATTGAATAGATGTGACTAACGGGATTCATAGTTCGTTTTTATTTCAAAACTATCTTAAATATCTTAAGATGTTAATGTGGTTCTGTGATTGGTTCATCTTATGTACTTAAGACGATCTTAAACATAAGATTATGAATATCGATTTAAATTTGTTATGATTCTATTACCTTGAAACGATTTAGTGGGACAGGTGCCCGCTTTACATTCGTGTGGGATTTTGTAGTCGAGGGTGTACGGCCAGATTGGCACTTTCAATGGCGAGATTCCTATACTACTGTCATATATGTATTCAAAGTCTTCGAGCACCTTATACTGAGTGTTGCGACCAGGTTTCAAGTAAGGCGCTCGCATACCGACGACTTCACCGGTCGAAATATTGCTGAAATGCTTTAGTATCTCGCGCATTCCGATCATCTCGCCGACCCATTCCTCGTAACCTTTATCCTCCAAACCTTTCTGGAGTCTGAAAATATTTGTCTCGTCAGCGAAATGATCCTAATGCACCCTGAATATTTACACTACTCACGAGATCGTCTCAGTCGCAATCTCATGACCGTCATGTGCCAGACTCTGAACCATATTGTAGTTGCAGTACTCGTGAGAGATGAAGAACGTGCCTCTCAATGGGCAGTTATTGGGATTCAAACGATCTTGGGTGAATATCTTTTGATAGTGATCGAAGTTGTTGTGATTTATTGCACCATCGAACGTCATTATTATCATTTGCGGCGTCTGAAATTATTCGTTGTATTTATTTACATTTGAATAAATCGATAGATTATCGCGAAAATTTATAGTCAAGTTTTACCTCTTCTGGATGAAGACCGCCAGGAATGATCGTGCCGTCTCTAGAACAGAAGCAGTACGGAAGTAGACAGTTCGCCGTGTCACAGCGCTCGGCCAAATCCATTGGCGGCTCAGTGATTGGTGCTGGTGCTAAAAATTAAAAGACCATTCAGAGCCAGAAGCTGCGAATGTTGCGTTGGACTCTCGCCAGAAATTATATGCTTTGACGAATAAAAAATGAGTTTAAAACATAATAATTGTATCATTAAAAAAACTTTTTGAAGACCTGCAGTTGCCTCTCTAAATCATGCTCCATTCGTTTCATAGAGTCAATCTTAACTAATTCTGTGTAACATAAAAGTATCTACTTACTGGTCTCGATGGGTCCGCATCGCGCCTCGTTTTTGAAAGTACAAAACTTACTAATGTCATCGAAGTGCAGGCCTGATGGACATCGATTCAAGTAGGGATATCCATCGACGCACTTTCGGAAAATAATAAAGAATATACAATTTATATTACGAATGTACAATCACGATATGAATAATCGTAGCGAAGATAAATAATCCAGAACTGACCAATAACGAAATTAACAAGGTAATCAGAACAATATGTAAAATATATAATTATGAATATGACCTGATAAATTAATAATTACTAAATTACCTGATAAAATCTCCTGCAAGTTGCCGGATCGGCAAAATTACCATTACCTTGGCCCTCCGGACACCTGAATTCCTCGTCTTTCTTGTCCTCATCCTTCTTATTCTTTTGACAATGTACTGCAGAGAGCGATAAAAGAAAAAATTCAACATACAAGAGATAATAATTTTCCATTGATGCAGAAAATATGCTCGAACTTCTTCATATGTGCATAAATACATCAGGAAAGGATTTCTCTCTCCTTTTTCCATCCTCTCATAAAAACAACGAAGCGTTTATCACACTTAATCGTAATCCTACGCGCGAGCTTACGTGGCAAAAAAAAAATTAAAATATACTTTCTTTTTTATCGTGCATAAATTGTTCTTTTATTCCCAGGCGATTACGAAGTCCAGACATTTTATTTAGTTTTAGAGAGGAGAAGATCATGATCATACAGATGATTTAATTCCTCGAAAATCGCTAAATGCTAAACCAAGAAAATGTCAAGGTTGGGGAACGCTTACTCGTAGACACGTTTACGCTTAAGTTACGCTCTTGTATTTCAAATGAGGCCGGCTGGCTGCTGGCTATCAAGTGCCTACGTTCCACTTTTACTGCATTCTTTCTGTCAAATATTATTACGTCCCAAGCAGCATAATTACGCTTGACAAAACGATGACAAAACAATGACTTTAATGAATGGACACGCTGTCCGCTGCAGTATAGTTGTCTAACAAATTTATAATGTTGCATGCAACGTACAGAATATTTAGAAACAAGCATTTTCTCGTCATAAATTGCAAGAATCCTCACATTTTCAATCTATGCCGATATATATATCGATTAATATTTGTCATTTTGTCACATATTCAACAGAACAAGGACGAGGATAGTACATCGCGTATGTACAGAGAGTCTGCGTGTCGAAAACATGGGCGAGAGAAATTCCAGAAGAGAAGCTTGAGAAAGCGAGAAACGTGATTGTGGGCATTCCAATATCTTTGAGCATATGTATGTGCACAGATGAGTGTTTATACTCCTTTCGCTGAAACGCAAATGCGTTAAAAGCGTCTAAAAGGCGGAATTGCATTAGCACTACAATAAACTTCTAAGTATTTCAAAGCTCCGTCTCACGCGCCTTCTTTTTTTCATCGCCTTTTTAAACTGAAAATTTAGAACTGCGTCAGAGACAGAAATCTCCGTGAGGCATTAAATTGATAGTCGTAAAATCTTAAATTCGCTATAGCGCCTGAAATGTCAATACACTAATAATATCTTCGATCCTTAATGTTAATTAATCCGGATTCCGCGAATGGATATAGATAATTTCTTAGGAAGTTCTAAACTCGATCTTTACACTTCTTTGTATTTAGCTATTCAGCCAAGCTACAATGCATCGATTTATGCAGAACGCTTGAAAAATCTCTGAATGCCGGAAGAGTTCTTTAGCTATTCCAGACGCGCCATCGTGACTGCATATGCAAGAGTTGCACAAGTTTTCGCGAAACTCATAACGCATTCGTGGTAAGTGTTTGAGTTAACATTATGTCTACAATTATGGAGCTTCAGTACAAAGTTCTTATTTAAATATTTCACACATGATATTTCTCTTAGTAATAAACTTAAATTGGTATTGAATTAATATAACTCAATATTGAAATTTGGACTAATTATAGGAACAGTGGCATCAGATGCGAGATATAGTGAGAGAAATTGCACGACGCATGATCGACATGGAGATATGAAGGTATTAAAAAATGGTTCATAGCTCTCGCGCGAGAGAAAGTAATACTTATGAAGATATATTCTTCTTAATGACTTTATAATTGTTATGCGTATGCACATTTTTATTCCTTTTGCTTATAATATTAGAATTAAATCAAAATAAGATTATATTATTCTAGAGAAATTTTTTTCTTAAAGTTCTTCACATAATTTTTCAGAATTTTCAATAAATTTTAGAATTTGTCAAAATTTTTCTATATAACTTTATAACTTTTTTTTTTCAAATTCTTTAGATCTTTTATATGAATTGAAACACTTTTTGGAAGGTGTTGAAAATGTCTTTCGGTAAAAAATTTGTATACATTAATAAGTAGATTAATAAGCAGATTAATATGTATAAATATGTATAAACATATATAAATATTCATAAACACGTATAATCATATATGAAATATGTCCATACATCCCTCTTTCTTTTGTAAAATTACTTTTTAGTGTAATAGAAATAAGTGTAATAGTAATATGAAAACATAAAAAATAATTAAAGGAATAATTTTCGCAATGTTCATTTTAGAAAAAAAAACAAGTTTGAAAAATACTAAAAAAAATTGCTCATACAATTATGCATAATTTTATATTTAACTACACATAAGTAATTTCTTTCAATTTTTTTCAATTTCTTCAAAATTGATTTTTTAAAAATAAATAATAGAAATTACCTTTTTAATTATTTTTAATGTTTTCATATTGCTATTGTTATTTTTATTACATTAAAAAGTAATTTTGCAAAAACAAGAAGGATGTATGGATAAAACATGTATGGATAAAAAAAGTTGTATATATAAAATTATGTATATTTATGAATATTTATATATGTTTATACATATTCATGCATGAAAAATTTTTTCCGGGCTACATCTTTCCTTTACGTATGTAAATTTCAAAATTCTAAAATTTTTAAGATTTCTCATTCTATAATTTTCAAAGAAAATTAACAAAATCTGAAGAAGTTTAAAAATATTTTTTTTTTAGAAATCTTTATAAATTTTAAATATGAACAATTCTTAAAAATATTATGAGATATACAAATTTTTGTCATTTAAAAAAGATATGTATATACGTCTTTTCGAATTTGATCTTCACGATTAGTGATTCCGATTAATGATCGTTTAATGATTTTTTTCATTAAACAATAAGCAAGATAATTACTTTATGATCACAATTAGTAAATGGTTAAGTAATTGGTCTCAATTGGCTTCAATCAAGGTAATAAACTCTAATAAATTTCCTCAATGTGCACAGAATATTGATCAGAAATTACACGTGAAACATCTGATGTTTAATTTGATCGCTCAGCGATTAAAAAGCCCAGCAATATCATGAAATCGGTGACCTTGCTTTCGCTAGATTTGCCTGATACAGTAATGGATGTCTGCATTCTAAACAGGTGACTTGAAAAAAAAAGAAATATATTTAATTCGTTACATAAGTTATATTATAGATTTCTATTTGCAAGGTCAAAGATCAGTGAACCTTTGAAATTCCTAATCTGTCTCGTCTGACTTCTTTTATAGAAATCTAATATAATATTAGCTAATTTAATACTGAAAGTAATTAATTATTACTTATTTTAAGTATTAAAAGCATTGAACACAACCTTCTGTATGATTTCTATATTTCAATTTTAAAAGCACTGAACGTTTTAATACTTAAAATAAGTAATTAATCACTGCTTCCAGTATTAAATTAAATTTCTGTAGAATTTGATAAAATATTTGTAATGAACTTCAAAATCTATTTCTATTTCTTTTCCATTACTGTAGGCAGCGAGACAATGAAGACAGGACAACTGCAACTCGTCAAGAGAGATGTTCATGTTCGCGAACGTCAAAGAGTTAAGGTCCGTTTAAGTAAAGTGGAAAGTGAAGGTATATACCAATACATTGGCAATGACGATGTTGCATTCACGATATGTTCTTTCGTTCTCTCCAAAGATACAACATTTCCTTCTATCGTCCAGATGCACGTGTGTGCACTCTTTCGCTCTCTAGATATACATACATACGTTATATGCGCGTGAACTAAATCTTATGTAAACGCGAGTGAAACCATCGACGTATCGAATTTGATCGGCACATCCATGTCGTCTTTCGATTTCTACATTTTATTTATTTATTTTTTTTTTCGTTCTACGGATTTGAAAAATTTGGCTCATTGGGTTCATGAATTCTTATCATAGATAAAGATCGAAGAATTTTCTAAATGAATCAATTAATAAGACTATAAAACCATGTCTGATTTCTATTTTTCAATTAGACGAATATCATTCATATATGCACGTTTATTTCTGTGATAAAGTATATACAAATATAGAATATACGATATATGTAAGAGCTGCTTAATTATTTATTGGATTCTTTTTATAATTAATTTTATTGTTGCAATTAAATATTTCCTTATTCGCAATATGATACTATAGATAAAAATAACGGCTACCAAGAGAAAGGCGAAGATAGAAACAAGAAAAGGATATGCTATCGAAAAACGTAATTCCGTGGAAGAAGGCTGGAATACCATCAGAAGAAAAAAAGACGAAATTAGAATTAGTCAGACATAGTTTCGAAGAGCAACGTGACTGCATAATTCAGAATGTTGAGTCCACACACACACACACACACACACACACACACACACACACACACACACACACACACAAAATTGCTACATGACATATACGTAAATATCTACATTTTACATTTATGTTATATTAATGTTATATTCAGTGTTTGCTGAGGATCATCTGGAAATTTCATAATTTTTAGAAAGCAACTATAATCCATCTCATTGACCTATTGATGGTACGATAATACACCGAGAATATTGTAAGTGAACGGCAAAAGGAATTTGGTAATTGGAACCGATAAAAATTCAATCTCGAAATTTCGCAATTTCCTATACACCACATACATGCGTGCGCGCGCACAGAAGAAATGAGATAAAAGCATTCTTATTATAATGACTTTTATAGAAAGATCTGGAAAGAGTCTCGTGTGAATGAGAATTTCAAATAATTTCTCCTATTTTCTCACTCTCCCACATATGCATATTTCCACATATACACTCCGATCTTTCGAGATAGAACATCAATGGAGAGAAAGGTAGACGTAACGTGAAAAAAACACTATAGGCGCGCCTACCTGCGACGATGGTCAAGACGGCGCAGAGTAGCGCCGCTTCCTGGAGCCTCATCGTATATCGCGTGCGACGTCTCAATGTTCCCTAGCTGATGGTTGCGCGTTCCAATTTCTTCGCGTGTCTTTCCTCGTTCGATTCGTGCAATTCACCGCGACCACAGCGACGTATCATCAACCAACCGAATAACCGATCCACCGGGTTGATCGGCTGCCGCAACACTGCGCGCCAAGGGTACGCCGTCGTTGCGACAGTTCTCGTGAACTAGCCGGCACAGGAATCAGTTCTCAGCTCATTGGTTGACCACTTTCTACTGGAGCGGCGAGACGGCTCACCGTCGCATCGGCACAAATCAACGAGGAAAACTGTCTTTTATCAGACACGATGCCGCAGATTCATAATTTGCACCAAATCTTTTCCGCTCAATTCGCTTTCAAATTGCCACGGATCGGCGTAGCATGGCGTAACGATTTTTCATCGCCGGAAATCGAATAAATTGTGTTAACACTTCGATAATATTGGAACAGTCAAATACCAGGAACGTTAGAATTTTATGTACAACTGTTTTTACACAAATTAGAAATGCAGTTGATAGCAACAATTTTATTTAATATTGAAAGGATACTTCTCTTACAGAAATCTAATTTAATAGTAGTCAATTTAATATTAAAAGATTAATAATGTATTTTGAATATTAAAAGCACGTTCAGTGGTTAATAAATAATTTATCACTTTCTTCTAGTATTAAATGTTTGTATTAAATGTTTGTAAGGGTGCATCTTGGAATTCAATGTATATAGCAACATAATAATTATTAGCTGCATAATAATTAATATATTATTAAATATAAATGCTAAGTTTGCA